TGGATCTAGCACGGACATGCACCAATCGATCGTTTTACCATGGCACCGAAAAGTGGATCCGGCCACGTAGTTCCGCCGGCTCTAAAATGGATCCAGTTAGCGCCACTGTACCGGCTAGAGAAAGCGTTACAGGAAAAACGGCGGCGTGGCCCCTCTCAGGTTTCTCTCTGGTCTAACTATACATTTAGGTAAAGTAATAAAAGAGATCGTTTTATAATTAAAAAAAAAAGTTCTGGTTTATATCTAAACTCTTTTATCTATTTTTTTCTCTAAAAAGATCGTGATAAGAATTTAACAAAAGTAGCATTTCAAATGAATTACACGATAGTTAATTTAATTCTTAATCTTAATTTTATTAGATTTTAATTAAATTAGAATTCAACGAAATAACATATCTCTTTTTAAATATATGAATGAATAAGTGCTATAGATACATATGATCTTTTAAAAATGTTTATTATTTTTATAACTCGAATTTATGCTTGTCATACATTTTTATCGTTTAAATGTTAAAATGAATTAGGTAAATTATATGATACTTAGCCACACATATAATGACCTCATCGTCATATGTTTTACTTGCAAACATTATCTGATTTCATTTTGCGAAATAAAGAATCGAAAACGTGATCTAAGAACTCGAAACGAAAGATAACGAAAGAAAAGAGGAAGTGCACTAACAATAAGATAATAAGAGGTGTATTTGTATGAACTTTGTAAAGACTTCGAAAGCCATATGTGTTTGCACAAATATTAAACAGAGGAATTCTCAAGCAAACGCTATTGAAAGATAAACAGCTAGATTTCGTAATGATGATTGGACGATGATGTCATTTTATTTTTTATTTGATATACCAAGAAATGTATCTAATAGCAAATAATTCTGTCTTTGTTATGACTTTCGAGAGACAGATGACGACATGTGATACAGCAACAATGATTATAATCTTGTTTTATTATTACAATCAACATAATTGAGAAATTGTAAAATTGAAGATTAACTATAATGAAAAAAAATTGTTATACTTTCTTCAAAATATAAGAAATCAGAAATGAAGGAAAAATTATAGCGTTGTGCGAGTAAGGATCTGCAATTTTGCTCCAAAAACTTTTGTTACTATATATGTTTACTTAAGGGTTTAATCAAAACAAATCAACAAGCATGATAGAGAAAATAATCTGACTTTTCCATTCAAGGAGAGCCATTTCGTCAATGAGATGCGATTAGCATAATAAATTGTTACGAGAGAATGTAATCCTCTTACTGATGCTCAACAATAAACGTTGGATAAATATCATCCATGTAATAAATATATACATATAAGCACAAGAGTGAATAAAATTACAAGATCCAAGAAACGCGCGATGACATTATTTCTTCTTAATCATCATAGTTTTACACGACTTGACATTTGACATTTATTACAAAATAGGTATTCCATAAATCAGGTTGTTTAAAAATTGTGCTTGTTGAATATTTGTTGTACT